GCATTTCTGAAGAAGGGTCTAGGCCCAAAACATCAGCCTTCCTGCTCCTCTGATGCTGCTTGGCCTGCTGTGTTCATCCAGCTCTACACCTTGTTATCTCTTACGTGGAGTTTGTTCCCGTTTGTCGTAAACTAAAAGAAAATACTTCCTGCTCATGGTGACTCTTTAAATGAAATTTGTCACATTAATAGATTTTTTGACTCCCAAAGCACCGTTCTTCATCTTTTTGTGAAGGGTTTTGCATGTCTGACATTTCTGATTAAACACTTTGTGAATCAGTACTGATGCCCAAACATGTCATTTGAAACCTGTTGCATCAGAAGTTCTAAGTTCCATTCCTGTTAATCATGGGGCCTTCTGGCTAGTTCATTTCAAGACTGCCTTTAGTGCTGGAGATTATAAGGGATTTCTTTCTCGAATGTCTGTCTCATTGATCAAGGAAAGTAAGCCCAAGCCATGTATACAGAAACAGCCATTATACCTGAGAAGTCTGTACAAAGTGTTGGTTGACTGTGAGATCTGAAATGCTTTCTCTGTACAGAGTTTCATGTTCAAAACAGAGTGGAAAAACAGTAGAGTAAAATGCAATGATAATAGCGACATTCAATCATAGAGTGATACCACACAGAAGAAGGGCATTAACTCTTTTTGGCAAAGCTATCTAATTATTCCAACTCATCAATTCTTTCCCTGTGGTCTTACATTCATTTTCCCCTTGAAGTACTTAATATTCCCTTTTGAAAGTTAACACGGCCTCTGCTTCCATCATTTCCAGCAGTGTATTCCAGATCACAACAACTCTGTGCAAAAACAATCAAAATTTCTAATGTTGTCACTTTTGCCAATTACCTTAAGTCCCTGTCCATTAGTTACCGGAAACCGCCACTTATTACTAGTTACTATCCACTGGGAAAAATTTCTCAGTATTCACCCCAGCATAATCATTCATGATTCTGATAGTTCTATCAAGTTTCCACATAACTTTCCCCACATTAAGATGAATACCCCCCAGTGTAATGATTGTAACGAGGTCAATGAGGTGGACCTTATAGAATATGAGTTCCCTGATTGGGGCTGTTAACCTTTTCCAATCAGGGAGCCCTGGCTCATAGATAAGAACAGGAGCGTCAGAGGTTCTGTTCATTCTGAGAGCTGGCTGTCAGGGAACTGGATCAATGTCATAGGCTCTCACTTCCTACATACTAAAGGGGTGGCCATGGGCACCTGCATGGGCCCAAGCTATGTCTGCCTTTTCGTAGGATACATGGAACAGTCTCTCTTCTGCTGCTACACTGGCACTATCCCCCACCTCTTTCTCTGTTACATCAATGACTGTATCGGTGCTGCCTTGTGCTCCCACGAGGAGCTTGAACAGTTCATCCACTTTACTAACACCTTTCACTCCAACCTCAAATTCACCTGGATCATCTCTGAAACCTCCCTCTCCTTCCTGGACCTCTTTGTCTCCATCTCTGGTGACCGCCTCGAAACCGATATCTATTTCAAGCCCACCAACTCCCACAGCTACCTAGACTACACCTCCTCTCACCCACTCTCCTGCAAGAATGCAATCCCCAACTCCTAATTCCTCCCACTCCACCAAGTCTGCTCCGAAGACAGGGCGTTCCACTCCCGAACCTCCCAGATGTCCTCCTATTTCAAGGATTGTAACTTCCCCCTCCAGTGATCGAAAATGCCCTCAAACGCATCTGTTGCGTTTCCCACACTTCTGCCCTCACATCATCTCTCCCAAACAAAAATAAAGACAGAATCCCTCTTGTCCTCACATATCACCCCACCAACCTCCGCATCCAACGTATCATTCTCCGCCACTTCTGCCACCTACAATCCGACCCCACAACCAAAGATATATTTCCCTCCCCACCCCTGTCTGCCTTCCATAGGGTCTGCTCTTTCCGTGACTCCCTCGTCCGCTCCACACTCTCCATTTACCCCACCAGCCCTGGCACCTTTCCCTGCAACCGCAGGAGGTGCTACACCTGCCCCTACACCTCCCCCTCACCTCCATGCAAGGCGCAAAACAAACCTTCCACATCAGACAGGGGTTCACCTGCACATCCATCAATGTGGTCGACTGGTCCCGTTGTGGCCTCCTCTACATCGGTGAGACCAAGCAGAGACTCGGAGACCACGTGTAGAGCATCTGCACTCTGTACACAACAAACAACAACACCTTCCAGTCGCAAACCATTTTAACTCCCCCTCCCGCTCCCTGGCTGACATGTCCATCCTGGGCCTCCTCCAGTGTCATAATGACGCCACCTGCAAACTGGAGGAGCAGCACCTCATATTCCGCCTTGGGAGCCTACAGCCTGATGGCCTAAACATGGAATTCACCAGGTTTAAACCTCTGGCCTCATTCCATGTTCAACCCTCCCTCTTATCCCCGTCTCCTTGACCTGACACAACCTGTTCATCTTCTTTCCCACCTACCTATCCCACCTATCCACTCCTCCCACTTCACTGACCAATTCCCACCACCCCCTACCTGCACTCACCTATCACCCTCCCACCTACCTTCCCCAGCCCCATCCTTCGTCTCTCTATTTATTTCTGAGCTCCCTTCCCCCTCCCCATTTCTGAAGAAGGGTCCTGACCCGAAACGTCAACTTTCCTGCTCCTCTGATGCTGCCTGGTCTGCTGTGTTCCTCCAGCTCCACACTGTGTAATCTCTGACTGCAGCATCTGCAGTTCTTGCTATCTCTCAGTGTCAAAGACTCCCCGTGTGTAAATAAAGGCTGACTTGGTGACAGGATACCAACATCTGTGGCGCTGTTTCACCCAACTTTTCCATTTTCTCCTTATGACTGTAGTCCCTCATTTCTGGATATGTAGTGCCTTTAATGTAGGAAACCTACCCAAGACATTTTATAGAGGCACAATCAAAAATAACAGATGCTGAGCCAAAATGGGAATGTTATGATAGCTGGCAAAAAACTTGGTCAAAGTGGATTGCAGAGAAGGAGGAGAGATGGAGCCACTGGGGGAATGGCTCTGTAGCTGAAAACATACACACCAATGGTGATGTAACAGTTTCACAAAGCCCAGAGTGAGAGAAATCTGGAATCTACAGGCAATGTGGCAGTGGGGGAGGTGACAAAGATCAGGAGCATTCCATATCTTCCTTTAACCTTTCTAACCTGCTTTTAAGGTTACTTTCATTGTCAACTGTTTCTCCTTCAGCCCATATGCGCAATACCTTGTTTTTCAATTGCAGTGGATTGTGCGAGAACAAAACGATAATGTATCATTTTTGCCTCACCAGACAGATTTGTATTCAGGAGCCTTGTTTGTGCAAGTGTGCCTTGGATGGAATCTCTACTTGTCGACAATTCTGATGCTGGTCGTCACAGCTCTCTATACCATAGCAGGTAACAAGGCACTCGACTCTTAAAGTAAATCTGCTAGAAATGTAAAATGCATTTGTAGGGAAGTTGCTAGAGATCACAGTAGTGTCTTGGATCGCAGAGTGTATCCAAGCAGTTCTCTTCAGTTTTGGTTAAATGTAGTTAAAAGAAGGTTCAACAACAGCAACTTGCTTAAATATGAACATTTGTTGAGTAATAATAAAAGATGAAAAAGAAAGGAACATTTATTAAGTAAATAAAAAGAATGAGAAAGAAAAGGAAAAAACAATAAGCCTCATGCCCTTCTGGCCATTGGGGACCCCTCGATCAACGGCTGGGCTGGAGGCTGAGCTTGTTCCTGGCACTGTTCACAATCCCGGTCTGAGGTGAAGTCCAATGACTTGGAATAAAACTCTCTCTTATACAGTGTAACAAACAGCCAGCACAGAAAAACAACTGCAGAAGACAAAACCTCTGGCCAGTACAGAAAACAGCTACACAAAAACAAGCTACAGGTGTCGTCTTCAGTCCGTATAGGAATGTTTGCAGGACTCATTCAAGGTCTTGCAGTTTGCCAAGCATCATTCTAAACTTTCCCAGCCTATTTTCCCATGCAGCTGTCAAATATCATCATTAACTTTTAGCTCTTCAGCCCATCCTATACAGAAAGTCAGTCAGTCTTTGGGAAGTAAAGCATTTTGATTCCCTTCAGGGACAATCGAGGGAGCCCAGAATTTTTCCTGGTCTGTTCAGTTACTGTAACTGTGCTGGTAATCTCAGCATTTTCTTCACAACCCGCTGCAACAAGCTGGCCCCCAAGCAGAAGTTCTGATGAAGGGTCTAGGCCCAAAACGTCAGCCTCTCTGCTCCTATGATGCTGCTTGGCCTGCTGTGTTCATCCAGCCCTGCACCTTGTTGTCTTAGTTGCTCAGAAGTTGGACTTGTATCTGAGATCGTAATGTGTCCTTTCTTTTTGGCAATTAAGAATTTCCAGTTTGCTAGAGTTGCACTAGAAGCTCCATGAATTTACAGGCTAATTTCCATGCTGCTGCAGTGAGCAGAGAGTAAAAATCATTAAGACGTTAAATAGTGTTTTTACTGTGACAAATATCTTTGAGCACCTTTGTCCAGTTAATTATTGGATGAGGGGTAAAGAAAAGTTTGACTCACAGCCAAGGATCATCCAGTTGGATAATAAAGAGTCTTTTCACTTCCTAATTGGTGTAGGAAGATTGGACATCTTGAGAATGTATGTGTTGCAGAACCAATAGTGGGAAAGTTTGGGAGGGCTATTTGGAAATGAACAGTCACCTTAGGAATATATCTAACCAGAGTGTTGCAAGGAAGTTGCTCTTCACTCAAGTTAGTCTTCAGCTATACCCAGTTATGAGATTTTCATCCTTTATTGCAATGTCCTCCACATTCTCATCCCCTCTTATCTCTGTTATCTCCTCCAGTCCCAGAACTCTCTGAGATATCCATCCTCCTCCAATTCTAGCCTGCTGTGAGCCCCTGGTTTTACTTATTCCACAATTGCTAGCTGTGCCTTCAACTTGACAAAACTCAAACCTCTCTACCTCTTTCCACTTTTAGTGTTTGTTCAAATGTAGCTCTTTGACCAAGCCTTTGATCACCTGCCCATGTGACTTAGCCTCAAATTTTGTTCAACAATGCCCCCATAAGTGCCTTGGAAGATGTTATCATGTTAAACACATGATATAAATATAAATTGTTGATGTTTTCATTCAAAGAAAACAGTAAGTCCTCTTTATGCTTTATAAATGTTAATGAAGAATGTAAGTATATAATAATACAATTCAGACTAGTAGTGTTGATGTACTTCAATCTTTTCTAAGGTCATTTTTGACTTTATCCGAATTAGTATCTCCTGCTCACAATGTTGTATTTGATTATAATTCAATTTTGTCTTTCATGAGATATGTACAAAGCTCCAAGGGTGGTTATTTTCTGACTGTTATAATTATTTGTCAATTGGTGTCTAAATACAGAGGAAGATTTCTAAAGCAATCTTACAATTATAGGATAATGGTTCATTCCCATTATGCTGCAGAATGGAATATGTCATCAGTGATATCTGCTGACATGCAGACACATTTGGAATGAGGACCAACCAGCATGATTCTAGGAATGCCCTCTTCTACTTAACTTTGTACACTGTTTCACCTTTTCAGCAATATATACACATTTTGTTGAAGCTGTTTTGTCTTGTACTCATCAGAGACACCAATGTAAAGGGAAAGCAACATCAAAACTATCTGGAAGGAGAGTCTTGATTGGTTGGCAAGAAGGATGCTGATTGGTAGAGCCATTGCCATGGAGAATACAGCAGTTAGATGATGATTGACAGTTAAAAATGTAATGATGAAATGTCACTGGAATGGGAATGTTAACTCTGTTTTTTCTCTATAGATGCTGCCAGGCCTGCTGTGTTCCTCCAGCACTCTCTATTTTTGTTATAAATGTTACAGTTTTTCCTTTGTACTTGGCTTTTCTCACAAATTGTTCTGATGAGTGTAAGACAAAAGGTTTTGACAAAATATGTCCTTTGCTCAGCAATACTCAAGTTGTTTACTGCTAAATGATTACAGTACATCTCATTAAAGAAAGGTTCCTGTTCACCAGTGTGAAGAAATCACTCTCTCTCTCTCTCTCTCCCTCTCTGTAAAAAGTCAATGCGACCTCATAAAACGCCAGGTGCCCCTGCTGATGGTGGGAATAACTCTAAGCAATCAGCAACATAAAACAAATCCTTGGGAAAGGCCTGAAGCAGAAAGCATAAGCCACTCTCCAGCTAAGTCACTGCTGTAGACAGCGTTGACTTGTGCAATCGATTGCTGAGATAGTGCATCTCAGAAACTCCATATTGGGAAAATGCCTTGAAGCCTCATAGTTGGTTACAGAAGCTGGCAAACAAATTGGTGCAAACAACGCTATTTGTTATTGAACACAAACAGATTCACTCACATGCCTTGTCTGTAGAACATTAGTGCACCTTTTGAGGTGGGTAAGTCTCGACTCCTATCCAACCTTTAGTCCATGGGGCTCTCGGTGCGTAAGTTTGCTAATGCTGTACCCCTCAGGCCTTGCTTCCAAACCAAAGATCAGATTAAGGTGCTTTTAAATGCCATCGGCAGCACTGATGATTCAATTTGTTGCTGACTCAAGATGTGAGCAAAACAGCAAAATGGAAGAATAAGTTAAAGTGCTCAACATCTACTTTAGTCTAAGGCGTAATGAAATTATCAACTATGTTAGGTTTAATCAACACAGCCAGGAACTGAGGAAGATTAGGGATTCCCTCATAAATATCCTGTATTGTCTAGCAGACCACTGTGACTACAAGAGAACACTATGAGATGAGTTTATTTGAGACTGCATTATAGTTTGTATTCAGGATGAGGCCAAATCTTAGCCAAAGGAAACCTCCCTTTGTCCAAAGCTTTTGAAATAGCACGACTGGCTAAAATCCATAACCGGAACAAATCCTTTCTTCTGAGAGACCAAAGAGTTGCTGAGAGCCCATAGTTGAATGTGGCCAGTTTGTTGACCACAAGCCAGATGGGTTTTGTGGAAAGTGAGTACAATGTCAGGAAGGTGTGGTCACTGCCATTACTCCTTCATGGTATGATGGGAAACGTGCCCATCAGTGGGAAAATTGCCCAGCTACTGTGCCATGCCTGCAACAGAAAGGATCATGTCACAACAGGAGCAATGGAACAGTCCCAGCAGTGGAACAAAATAAATTGCAACACTTTATTCCTGTCCAGGATGTTGATGCTAGTGAACACTAAGATCAATTTGTTATTTTTTGGGGGGTCAATTTGTAGATCATCAAGAAGACTTATAAAACTCAAATGTTTTCATTATTGATGCGTTAATGGTCCAGTAACACTCAAGAAACTTGGCACCATCCAATCTGCTTGCATGGCACCCCATCCACCACCTTAAACATTCACGCACTTCAACAACAATTCACAGCAGCATCAGTGTGTACCATCTACAAGATGCACTGCAGCAACTCATCATGGCCCCTGACAGTACTATCCAAACCCACAACCACTACCATTTAGACTTGGAAATACATCACCAATCCTTCACTGTTGTTGGTTCAAGCTCTTGAAACTTCCTCCCCTACAGCATTGTGGGTCTACCCATACCCCAAGGACCACAGCAGTTCATGAAGGCAGCTCACCTACTCAAGAGCAATTAGGGTTGGGCAATTTCCCCTGATTTTTTTTTAAATGCTCTGCCTTGTTTAGAATTAGATTTTGGGGTCATTGCATCTGTTTGTTTTGATACAGTACCATGGCACAAGCCTCACCCTCTTCAATTCTCTAATGTTCAACTGTGACATACAGGTAGTAGACAATTTCTATATCAACCTGTTCAAGGATGTCATAACAGACCTTTGGAGCAGGTGGGACTTGGACACAGGTGTCCTAGCTCAGAGGTAGGCACACTACCACAGCTCCACAAGAACTCCTTGAGGTACAGGTAGTATATCAATGAAAGTCAAGCAATACCTCTGTGCCAAACTTTGTTTGGGCATGCATTTGGGCACAATTCTAATTTCTAATCAATGGTAATTGTCATTGAAAAATTGCCCCAAATCTCTTTATTCTGCAGATACTTGCCTTATGGAACATGGAGGTATTTAATTCATCCACGCTCTTTAACACACCACAGAGACTGCCAATTCTCTGGCATCCTCTGTCCATTCAGTCTCTGCTATCTCCTTTGACTAGCATCAGCTGTTATGGCCATGGTCAAATCCCTATCTCTTCCTCTTGTCTCCAGACATATCCTGCCAGGGTATCCTTTCTACCACCAGAGTGAATTATTTAGAAACAATCATTCCTAAAGATTCAATGTTGCTCGTGACCAGTCTAAAGGGTATATGCTTAGCAGTTTTGCCGTTGCTTACATGCAAGACGATTGCTATGAAGATATATAAAATCCTTAGGACACTTGACAAGAGGACGGATGAGAAGATGTTTCCTCTT